GAAAATCCGAGCTACTCGCACGCAAAGTTGGCAAAATCGCTAAAAGTTGCCAAATCAACCGTTACAAATGTAATTAAAGTGTTTGGGGAACGTTTGTCGACAGTCAGGAAGTCTGGATCGGGGGGAAATCGAAAACCGGAAGCCACTGAGACGACAAAGAGAGTTGCCGGTAGTTACAAGCGAAACCCTAACCTCTCTCTCCGAGATGCCGCAAATAAGCTGGGTGTATCGTCTACAACCGTGCATCGAGCCAAAAAACGAGCCGGACTATCGACTTACAAGAAGGTAGTGACTCCAAATCGCGATGATAAACAAAATACGACGGCCAAAGCGCGATCCCGGAGGCTGTACACGACGATGCTGACGAAGTTTGACTGCGTGGTAATGGACGACGAAACCTACGTCAAAGCCGACTACAAGCAGCTTCCGGGACAGGAGTTTTATACGGCAAAAGGAAGGGGAAAGGTAGCAGATGTTTTCAAGCACATGAAACTGTCAAAGTTCGCAAAGAAATATCTGGTTTGGCAAGCCATCTGTACCTGTGGCTAGAAAAGCAGCATTTTCATAGCTTCCGGGACTGTCAACCAAGAAATTTACGTGAAAGAGTGTTTGAATAAACGTCTGCTGCCTTTCCTGAAGAAACACGGTTGTTCCGTACTGTTTTGGCCGGATTGGCATCTTGCCATTACGGTAAAAAGGCCATGGAGTGGTACGCCGCCAACAACGTGCAGGTGGTTCCCAAGGACAAGAACCCTCCCAACACGCCAGAGCTCCGCCCAATTGAGAAATACTGGGCTATTGTCAAGCGGAACCTAAAGAAGACCAAAAAAACTGCTAAGGGCGAGCAGCAGTTCAAGGCAAACTGGCTTTCTGCGGCGAAGAAGGTGGACAAGGTGGCTGTACAAAATCTGATGGCAGGGGTCAAGCGTAAGGCCCGGCAATTCGGATTTGGAAAAGCGGAAGCCTAACTGAATATTTTTCCTGAATTTTATACTAATTGAACTTGAAAAAGAAATTTAATTTGATTTTTTAAATAAACGATTTCACCGATTTACACGCGTTTTCCCTTGACCAAATTTTGACCGTATCACCCTTTATCTCAAAATTATTGAAAATCCATATAGAACAGAACTGATGTGAGATTATAGGCTGTATAGCTATACTATAATCACTACTTTCTTTTTCATTAAATAAAAAGGCTAGATACCGAAATATTAATTCCGGATGTTCTGTAAAGTTGGATATGGCTCAAGGGCTCTCCAGTATGGTCACGCATGATACAGAATTCTGTCATTAGATGGCAATACTGGCCGAGTTAAATCAAAGAGAGCTCATTATCTCTCTATTATTTCACGGTAATGACTTCGAATGTTCAGTAAAGTTGGATTATGATTCAATGACCATTCAGGGTTGCCGCGATGATTCTAAATTTTACTGGTAGATGACAACACTGCTCGAATAGACTCAATTAAACCTCAATATCTCAGTTTCGTTTCCAGATAGCGAATTCAAATATTCAGCAAAGTTGTAGAACAAGTGAAGAGCTAGCTAGAGTTGTCATAACTGTTGTTGAGTTTGAACGAATCCGAGATACCGAGCTCTATTTGATTCTAATCGCGCAGAGTAGCCATCTATCTTTAGAATCAAATAGAGCTCGGTATCTCGGATTCGTTCAAACTCAATATATCGGTATCTTACCAAGGAAAGGATTTCAAGCAAAGTTGAAGTATAAGTCAAGCGCCAGCCAGAGTTGCATAATGAAATTAAATTGAGTAAATACTGTAAATAAGGGAAATGGATGTAATGTCGTCCTAAATGCCCCTAATTTGGGCCCATACATAAATTCAGCAATCGACTAAATTTTCAATAGCGACTAAAAATATCCATAAGTACCGTCCCAATGACGCCTTCATCTAGATAACATGGATAAATAGCAGACTTTTAGCGATGGGCCCAATCTTAGATCCATAGGCCAACATTAGAGCCATTTACCCTATCTAATCCTAGTCTATAGTTTAAACCAAAATCTACATCCATAAACATGTAAAATTAATTCTAAATAATTTCAATGCGAACTAACATATGACCCACCCTAATGAAGATCGCCAATTCTCACGTGATCACACAGCAGAAATGTGTATTCATTATAAAGTAGTGGAACGCCGGCGCCGGTGGTGTAGTGGTAAGCGTGACTGCTTTCTAACACCCCAATGGGTCTGGGCTCAATCCCAGCCGAGGTCGGTGGGATTTTTCTGAGGCATAAAAATCTTTGGTCACGTCTTACTTCGGAAAAGAAATAAAGCCGTTGGTCCCGGCCCATATGTGTGTAGAATGGGTGCGATATCCTATGCAGGTGTGGAAGCTGCCTTCCTGCACATTCGATTGCCGTTAAAAGATGGCAATCGATGTCCGTCGATGATTGGCACTAGATTGCGGAACAGAGACCGACTTTAAATAAAGGAAAGAAGAAGTAGTAGCAAATAGATATCCAAGCGTGCGCAACCAAATCGATTGTCGAGTTGTTTTTCATATACCTCGATTTTTAACCATCGTCAGTGTCAAAGGATCAGTGTTTGATCAACCTTGTGCCCATGCGTGAATAACGTGAAATTCACGAACTGCAACGTTAGTGCAAGGTGACTGAGTGGCTAATTCACATCTTCTATTGGGAAGGGGGAATAACAGCAGTACAGAACGGGAAGAAATACTTCCGAATCCAGGCAAATACAGAGCCCACAGCTTGAACAGTTGCCATAAATGACAAGCAATTTTACAGGTAGATGGCAAAACGGCTCAAGTAGAATCAAATAGTGCTCAATTATCCGGTATCGTTTCATGATAGCAACTTCGAATGTGCCGCAAAATTGGAACATGAGACAAGATATGTTATCACTCATGACTTATACTCCAACTTTGCTGAGCTTTCGAAGTCACTATCTAGAAACGATCCCGAGATATTGAGCTTCATTAGATTCTACACGAGGACTTTTGCTATCTTACTTCAGAATTTGCAGCCATCATGGTCAACATGGACAGCCATGGACAACATGGATTTGCAGAACATTTGAAGTGGCAATCTTGAAATAATACCGAGAGTAATTAGAAATTCAAGAGTGGAAGTTAAAAATGTCGTTAATTCGAATTTTGGTCGTAAAAAGAATAATCGTAAAAATAGGTTGGATTGTATTACATTACTGCCACGCAAAATGAATGACAACATGATTACATTAAGAAACGTCAGCAATGAAAGCAACCACATGCGAAGTTATTCGATGACTTCTTCGGACGGCTCAACCATGATGTTTGATCAGGATCTAGCATACGGCTTAAATATTGCACATCTTTAGTGACGTGTACGATCGCGATATTCATTTTCTCCCTGAAAACAAATCATCTTCATTTTAACTCACCACATATATCCAACCGTACCAACCGAGTAACAGATCACGCGCGATTGAGGCCATCCCGCCAGGTGTCAATCACAGAATTAATAACAATGAAATCAAGTTTAAAAGAATATTTGCAATAATGAATGAACAATGCATCATCGATGTCCGGGTGCAAATTCTAGAAGCTACGATGCATATTTACCCCTAGGCAACTCTAAAGCTGCACGATAATTAAGAACTTTTGTTTAGTTTTTAGGAGAGGATATTGAAGTAGTATTGAGCGACGATATGGAAGAGTAACTTGAGAAACATACTGCGAAAAACAAACTTAGTACACGGGTGCATTACCATTTATCAAACGGATATCTTAAGGGAACCGAAGTATTTGGCTAATGACGCGTAGGATACCAAACCACCGTATGTATAAAATCTGATTCGAGAATGATTTTCACACTTTTATCTCTCCACTGGGGCTGCGCTTTGATACTCAGTACCAGTCGATGGTGAAAACACAATAGTATTGTATCTACATCCACACCTGTAATTAAATGATGCGAATCTATCAACTCAGTAATCTTGCGGGGCTTGGGTTTAAACCCATCATTTTCTGCTCAGTAAGCAAAACCGGTCGCTCTAAGGCCACCATGCCCCTTACATCAAGCTACGACCGACGATCGTTCAATTCCGGGTAATTCAAATGAAATGACGTCTCCGGATGCAGTTAACAATGTTTTTCAAACCGGATCAAGCGTACGTCATAGGTGTATGATATAGTGTAGCATATACGCCCATAGAGTGTACGAATTTTACCAAACACAAGAGATATTGTTAAAAATCTAACACTGCATTCAATTCGATCTGGATTTTCTTCGTCCTTCCTGAGCGCTTCTTTTGTTTTTGAAAACAATGGGTATCATACTATGCACTCTAATAGGCTTTGTGTTGTAGCTTATGCACTAACACATCAATACAAACATATATGTGATTTGTGCACGGTGAAATCATTGTCAACCTTAGTTTGACAAGCAGAATGATTCGGGGCTTAAATTAGTTGTTGCACCCGTACGAGGCTACGTCATGCTATTGAGCGGTTCCATACTAATTCACTAATTCATTTATTCTTGAATTTTTTTATTTGGATGAAAATTCGCAAAAAATGCCATCTTCCATCTTCAATACAATTCATTCATACCTACACATTTCGAAAACTAGGGCACTTAGAACGTTTTTATGCAGGTGCTTTTTAATTGTAAATCTGATGTTATTTCACTACATCAAGTCGAAAGAAAAATTGGATTATTATGAATTTATTTTAGGAATTTCAAAAATGCGAGGAAAGTATTTTTAAGTTATTATTGGTGCATTTTTTTTTAGAGTGTTAGTTTTTTTTTTAAATAGTTCCAGCCATTTGAACAAAAGGAACGTTTCTGTAAATTTTCATCCAACTAAAAAAATACAATAATAAATAGATTGGTGAATTAATATGGAACCACTTTAATTGTTGGTTATTGACTATTAGGCTGTGATATATTTGTCAATGGAGCGGGGATTTTCTTAGCTAAAAACATGTTAATTTATTACAAGTTCGTAAAAAGTTTTCTCTGATTAATTGATAGTCACTTTCACTGTGTGTTTAAGATTACCGTATAATTTCAAGAACTTGATATCAACCATTTGTTTATGTGTTGTGCTCTTTCGGTGACTGATTAATAACATCGTGGAAAATTGCTTTCTCGGTTCAATACGAATACACTTACATAAAACAACTCTGGAGTTAATGAGACTTGGTTGACCACCATTTAATGTCCGAAAACATTCGTTTTTGCAGAGTTAGGATAAGTTACTAGTGAGACAGCCTGTAAATTTTGTTGTGTCGTGGACGATCTCCCAGCACTTAGGCATGCCGCGGATCCTTAATGGTCAGATTGAACAGTTTCTGAGCGATAATGGAGTACTCGATGTCAATCGGTTTGGTATCATCGTACAGTGAGGGAGCTTCACATAGGATTGCGAATGTGCCGAATAATGACGCTAGTGTAAATAACCATAAAAATAAACGATCCAATACCATCGCCACAAATCCCCAATCTTGATCCTCCTGTATTATTGTTATTGGCGTTTTTTTTTTTGTTCCGTGCGAAATCGTTCGAGGTCGAGTCATTTTTGGCCAGAGTCGGTCAGTGCATGCGGATAAAATGAACCGGAAATGAGTCGAAAGAAAAAGATAATCAGCAAGTGGCATGTGTATGCGATTGTAATTATTCAAAGAAGTGCTTCTCTCCAGTTTTCCTCTTCAATTCAATAAATGAGCGTACGGATGCTACGGGGAAAAGCGGACGCATGGGAGCGAATAAATGAGGATATAAATTCTAAGATAATGGGTAGATATAAAAAAATCAATACCACGAGCACTGCTTCCCCTTTCGTATGAATAAGAGCGCTTCAATGAGAAATGGTATAGCAGAAAGTAGAAAAAGTAGATTGAACATGATACGAGCATTCTGACTTGAAAGCCTATAGAACAGAATGGTAAATCTGGAAGTGGGTGGGATAGGGTGAATAGCGAGGCGTTTCTGCTTTGATTGAGTTGGCAAACTGTTTCTAGAACTGGCACTGGTAGAGAAAGACTTCTTTCATTTATGTAGTATGGCCTATGTACCAAGAAGGAAGCCAAACGAGGAATACTTACCGCATTAAACTCGTCCTGGCGCTGCATGTGATGCTGTATAAACATAACGTTATGAATGGCCTTCTCCAGTTCGAATGGGTATTTTTTCCTCGGCGCCACATCGCTCAGCGATTCGTCCAAACCAGACATCACCGATGGAAGCCCATTATAGCCGCCTAAACTACTGAGACCTCCTCCAAGGGCTCCAACGAGTCCGCTGAATCTGTTGGGACAAAAAAGAAAACGACCTAATATAGCAAAGCAACAAACTTGAACTCAGCCGTAAACTGCCCTGACAGAGTGAACCATAATAGTAGAAGCAATTTCACTCTGAATCCGGTAGCATTAGACTGGCTTTAGAACTTCGCTCAGTGGAGGGTCAATAAATCATCAGACTAACCTATTTGTAGCTGTCGTGGAGTGTAGTCCATTGCATCCTCCCGGTCGACCTTGCATGTGTCTGATTGAATCGGGACTTGAACCACCAGAGTTTTGCTGCATTTGGGAGTGGGCTGCTAGAGCAGCACCGAATTTACTCTTGCTGATTTTAATTCCGTAGTTTATTTTGTTGGCCGCCAATTCCTGCAATATAAATATGATTTATTGATAAATTCATGGCTGCTTTGGAGAAATATATAATTTCATGGCACTTGAAAACCTGTGTGTACATTTTCGATGATTTTATTACCGTGGAAAAGGGCAAGATTATCCTATACATTTGTAGGAAACACAACAAATAAAATATGTGATGAATCTCGATCATCAGATTTCGCTAAATTTTCACATCAATTTTGAAAGTTGTCCAGAAAATGAGAAAATTTTCTTTTGGAAAATCAAAACATTTCTTGTGATGATACAAGTACGACTTTCTAATTTATGTGCTTTTAATATTGGTGCTCAAACAGGTCACTGTTAACCCTTTGCCTGTATCTTAGGGTCAATTTGACCCCAGTGCACTTTGACAGGCAGAACTTTTTTATTTGGCAAATAATTTGTCTATTTCTATCATGATTAGGTGCGTCCTATTGGAATCTTTAATACTACATGAAATTTACTCCTCCTTCTTCTTCTTCTTCTTCTTCTTCTTCTTCTTCTTCTTCTTCTTCTTCTTCTTCACATTTCAAGCTTATTGCATATCGCACATTAGCTTATAGCGTGCTCTCAACTTAGTGTTCTAGATGCACTTCCACAGTTATTAATTGAGAGCTTTCGATGCCTGTACCATTTTTGAATTGGTATAATTGTGTGGCAAGTCCAATCATACTTCTATGCCCAGGAAAGTCGAGAAATTTTCCAACCCGAAAAATTCCTAGACCGGACCGGGAATTGAACCCAGCCACCTCCAGCATGGTCTTGCTTTGTAGCTGCACCTTTACCGACTGAGCTAAGGGAGGTCCCCACCATCCCAGGGAAATTTACTCCTACATAGTTTAAAAATTATCACCTTTACCATTTTTAGAAAAACTTACGTTTTCTGTACTGCCCTTTTCAGCATAGTTGTCCCATTCGTTAATACAGCAAGCTGTATTGTCGAGTTTGATCGCTATGGGCTCTTATGGATGGGACAACATAGTTTTGGTATTTTTTACGACATTTTTAGACCAAAGTAAGAAAATTATCCAGTACATTGTAAAGTGATGGTATTGAATTTAATGAATATTTTTGCTAAAAATGCTAATAGGACTGTTCAGCAAATTCAAGCTACCGTATTTCAGTTATTGTCAGTGGATTTTTAAATGTCTTGCAGAGTTTTTTTTATGCACTTTATGTTCACCGTTGTTTTGAATATTTGAATTTGAATAACGCGGTGAAAAACAAAGTAAAAAATTTCTCGCGCGCATAAGGGTTAAAACTGTTAAAACAAAAAATTGGATCTTGTGTACCTGTACATCTTTGCTGAAGAAATGAGTATCCTACATGGCGAGGATCAGTGTTTGAAATATTGTCAAAAGTTCATTATCGCAAGCGAGCGAACTTTCTTGTTTGAGATTGAGAGGAACTAATATCTTTATCGCTTTGAGTCACCAGCGAGAGAGACCGTATGATAAAAGATATTTTTTGTTGTGAATTCCTTACACAACATTTTTTCCCGATATGTGATGAAATATTTCGCGAACTTTGACTCGTGAACTTTTTTATTGGTTATTCCTAAGCAGCCTTATAAATGTGTATTAAATGTATCACCAACAACGCTCGGGCACTCCTACATGTATGCAACTTAATTATGATCATATATAAAGCATATTACTTAACTTAGAAAAAGAAAACATCAGCAGAGTTGCATCAACAGAGTTGCACAGAGTTGCAACGAGACGATTTCATTCTACTCCCCAACGAAACATAACGTAGGAGACAAGCGCGTTTCGCGATTTTTGGTGAAATAGGATGAGAGTGCGAAAATAGAATTTTATTTCGGAATCGTTTGCTGCACTATTTCGCACATCTCGTTCCGGAACTTTTATTCCCATTTCGTTCGTGATTTTTGCATATCAGTTCTTCAGCGAAATGATTATATGAAAAACAGCGAAAGAACTTTTTTGAAAATGATCTTTCCAACACTGGTGAGGATCTCGTGGTATAAACATCTCTAACATCGAAATATAAAAATTACACATCCAAAATGATCTAAAGTTTTAAGCGAATCGGAGTTCTACGTGAGAGTTTTCGGCCTACCCCAGAAGTCCTGGATACGGAAATACGGTGATGTAAAGCTTGTACTTCGGGAGAAATTTCCAGCTGCCTTGGGCCTCGACATGCACACAGGCGTGCGGAGTCTATACATGGATGTAAAAAAGGAGATTCCTAACTTGCTGCATTTCTTGTAATTCTTGCATTCGCTTGCAGTAATAAAACCAACAACTTAATGAGGAAGATACCAGTAGGTACGCTAGTATTGTGACTGGCGGTGCATCGCCAAATAAAGAAGCGGTTGAGGTCCTCGCAGAAGAGGTGGTGGAGATGGATGTGACGTTCCCGGACGCCGAGTAGAACAGTGAAGAAGCGAGCGCTGCTGAGAAACAACAGCAACTCAACTTTAACTTCTATTACATTTTCACACCACCGTACTGTAGCGGAACTATCAACCTCTCCCTCTTCAGAACTTTTTCTAACTAATAAACTATCGCACTAAAGCTTCATGTTGATATTAGAATAGCATTTCCTCCTAACTCTGAATCGTAAACTTCACGTAAGAAGTAACAAAAAACATTTTGAATGTAATTGGAAGAAGAAAGGGAGTTGAGAGCACGGATGAAAGCGGAAGCTAAGCTCAAGTTGTCTCAAAGGAAGAGTAAGAATAATTTATGACAATGTCTCTCTAAATATATTAGTGTACTTAATATTAAATTATTTAATGATTATTGGCTCCGTGGAGTCCTTTTAGACATTTGAGTTGCTTGAAATAAAAACAAACATTCACTTTGCATTACAATAGAAATTTCAAAAATCCTTTTAAAAATCACTGAGAACCGGCAATTGGAATACGAAGGGTTAACCTATAGAAAAACATTAATAGTGGTAATTCCATCAAGGATAATACATGATTCAATCCATATATTCGAAAATCTGGATTAAATGTTAATACCCCATTCGGTAAGCTGAAACTCACCCAAGTAAATCACAACAATGATTGTGTAGAGGGAGAGTTTCTCCATCTGATAGAATTGGTGGCTAACATGGACTTCATGGATGGCAATAAACTACGAGAAATTTACGAAAGAAGCAATTGTTTATGTTTGCTACAATGGTCATTATGAATGCTCAGTATTGAATATTGAGATTATTATTGTTTTGCTCTAGCTCCAGCAATTTACTCGACATTTTTGACAAACAACGGAAGGGTTTTCATGCGACAATATTTGCAAAGAGCTTAGAATCTGTCCTATCCAGTTCCAGCTTTCGTTCCACAAAAATAACTTGAGGACTGGTAAGACATTTAGGGCTGTAAGATATTTAGGATATTCCTGAAGACGGTGCTCGAAATAGATTTCTGTTCGGTAAGCAAACCCTCTCATAGCGATAAGCTCCATCAAGAATAATGCGCGATTTAATCAAGATTTTCATTAATCTAGATTGAATTTTAATACCCTATTCGGTAAGCATAAAAAGATGATAAAACTTAGGAAAACGCAGCCATTAATCATCGCATCGCATCGCAGAGAATATAAAGATGTGAGTGTATGCAGTTATGCAGGAGAAAGAAATGAAGAAGGCGGAACAACCACACTGGATTTGAACACAAATTTCTCGAGAATCAAACCACACCTACGCAAACTAACAATGCCATTGGATAAAGGAAGTTTGTTCTTTCGGATACTGGTATAAGATTGCGTGGATGTGGTTTTATTCTCAAAAAACTTGCGTTTAATGCCATTTCCTAAGTTTGGTTGTTCCACCTATTTCAATTGTTTGTCAAAAATATTCTGCTCATTGCTGTTTTAGGATTTGCCGTGGACGTTCGAAGCCGTCTTCGAATACCAACTTCTCATTTCTTCAACGAAACCAGTTCAATTCGTACAAAAAACATACTCAATGTAATCCAGGACGATGATGCTATTAAGGAAACATAAAACTCTGTAGTGATTGGCAGCGGTCCGGCAGACGTGATTAACTCATATAATGCCGATGTGTTTTAGGTTGGGTGAAGTATGCGACAAGAAATCTCTTAGGCAGCTGGATATTGTAACGTCGTGTAAGAAGATTATTTCAAAGACACTGTACTGCGAATTGATCAAAGATCACGCTTCTCATCGTCAGCACAATCCGATAAATCGCGGATTTGTTGTTAGTGTTTTCCATGAACTTGCGGGTGAGTATTTTGGACTGGTTGGCAAATCGCTGGATCTCTGCAGAGATTTTAATATAAAACCTGTCAGTGTGAGATGTGAGGTAACTCGCTGTCTTAATTAAGTAAAATTTCTTCTCAAACTTATTTAGACATGGTTTTCGAAGATCACTAGATTAAACTTGAAGTTTACAAAATTCGCAGAAATTTAGAGTTTACAATACTTCCTTGAAGATCGCAGATCTACTCTGAAGGAGCTTTAATGCGTTCCTATGCAGTTTATGAATGATCTGAAAACTTCAAGGGAAGTCCTCTTATCTTAAAAGGAAGTAATCTGAAGTTCATGCGAAAGTCTCTGAACTTCAGGCAAAATTCTCTGAGCTTCAGGTAAAATTCTCTAAATTAAAGGCGATGTTCTCTTAACTTAAAGGGAATTTCACGGAACATCAAACGGAAACTTCCAACGCATAATTTTTGAACAATTGTTCACATAGCTTCCGACGAAAAGTTTACAGAACTTTTCTGAACTTCAGAGTACATCATCAAAGTTCCCTGAAGTTCGACGATAAGTTCAGAAAACTTCCGACAACAAGTTAAGAGAATTTCCGATGAGAGATCTTCTGACGAGACGCTCATGGAATTTCCAACGAGAAACTCAGAGAACTTTCAACAAGAAGTTCAGATATTTTCTGAAGAAAACTTCCGAAGTTCATTTAACTTCTATGAAGTTCCGACGAAAAGTTCAGAGAGCCTCCAACGAGAAGATGTTCAAAGAACGTCCGACGAGAAGTTCTGTGGA